ACTTTTCTCCCTCTAGGGAGGGTGCTCATGTGTTGATGAGAAAGGAAGCTCAGATTTTTCCCCTGTCCTTTGTGACTCCACACTTGTGCATTGTCCTTTTTCGGTTTCTATCCTGCAAGAGTAGAAAGTGATACTGTTAAAATAAAATAATAAAAATGAAATAAATGTAACACAATAAAAAGAAAGGGAGCCAAGATGTTTCCTAAGTGAAATAGTGTAGGGGTGGGGAGAGGTCAATTTCTTTATTTTTTCCCTTTCCTTCCTTAAATCTTTATGTTTACAGTTGACTAATAGGAAGTTGTTTTAGGGTAAACAAAAAACTGGAAGTGTCTCTTAAATAGGAAGCTGAGGCTGTAGCAGTTGCCTAACTTCATGCTTAGGTTCCCCCAAATAACACAAGGACCCTTCTAGCCCCATACAGATGATTCTTTAATCTGGAACAGGCCTGTCTTGTTCTGAATGTGCTGTGCAGTGTGACAGGTTCCATTTCCTGTCTCCTTTAAGTCTTCTTGCTCCAAGTACCCACACAGGTTTTATTCTGTGTTGTTCTTTGTCCTCTGTTAACCAGAAAAGTTATGAAGTAGGAATATGCTGCCAGTTCCATTAGTGAAGACTCTGTTTTGTTCACTGCCATCCTTTGTGTCCACTGTAACAGTTGGCACAGAGCAGGTGCTCAGTAAAAACTGAGTGAACAATTAAAGTAACAAAACATCTGCTGAGTAGAAAGGGAAATAAACAAAGAAAAATACATATTTTTACTTCTAAGTAAGGCTGTTGACTTTAATTAGATTCACTACTTGATTTCCTTGGAAAGCCTTATAACCTTTCCTAGGTTATAGCTAGAGGAATTAAAAAAAAATGAAGAAACTTGAATGTTTATCACATTGAGGAATGGGAATGGGGTGGCAGAAGTATATCATTTGCTGCAGAGAGAAATAACAGTCCGGAGGCTTAGCACATGGCAGCCATTTAATATAGGGATGGTCAGCCCTAAATCCCTTACCATCACTGAGTAGTGATGGTACTCTGAGAATTAATATAAAGTTGATAATCTGAGAATTAATATAAAACCCTTTTGAGTACTTTCCTTAAGCTTTTCACTTTGCATCAATCTGGTAGAACCCAGCATCTTCAACAAGTACTTTGTAAATTAAGCTTCCTATTGGAGGAAGGTGAAATACATACAAAAAAATGTATGCACTGTGAATTTTCATAAAGTCACTTCCAAGTAACCAGCACCCAGATCCAGAAACTTTGTGTTTCCCAGAAAGAACTCAGGAACTTTGTGTCTTTTCTAGCTACTGTCCCTCCTGCTTCACATCCCCAAGCTCAAGGGTACAAACTGTCCTAATGTCCAATAACAGTTTAGTTGGAAGAAATGGTGTTAGGATTTAATCTAAGAAGTTTTAGAAATTCCTTTAGTGAGTTTAAGGTAAAGAAGAAAGATCATGAATAAACCTGTTACCCTTTGACTTGTTTTTCTTTCTAAAGTATTTTAGGAGAAGCGTGATTGGATTAAACCAAAGTGCTTGGACAGTTTGAGTTTGGGTCTGAATGCACTCGCGTACCTTGTGTATGGAAACTATTTTGTACTTGTCTCTGTTTTGATGAGAAACAAACTTTTGTAGTGTCACTTTCTTTTATACCTGTGTCTTTGGCTTTGAAAGGAATTACCACCTCTCCATTTAGACTGAAGGCCTGTCTACCTTTGACATTCTGTCATCTACTTTCAGATTTTCATGCTGGCTTAAACTTATTCCCAGTACATCTGTAAGGTATGAAAAATGAATTATTTTCCCTGCTTTACATGTTTATATTTACATTCACTTTAGGATATTGCAATTAACTATTCATGGGGTGCTTAAAGGTAACTCTGGCCATGTAGAAGAGAACAACTGATAATAGGTGATTTTGGATGGAATTTTCCAAACCACAGCCTGTTGTAAACCTCTGCCTGTTGTAGAGTTCTTTGAATTCTAAAACTTTCTTAAGAGTTCAGTGAAATTCTTCCCTTTTTTTTTAAAAGCTTGAGTTATTTAGGCATACGGAAAGGATTGGTGCAGTAAAGAAAAGGAAAGCGAGGCTAAGGTTCTCACAGGCAGGAAATTTATTGCGCTCCTGGGTGAGGTTCGCTGACCCCCGCAGGGTTTGGAGAAGTCACACCTGTTGTTGGGGGGGGCGGGGCTAGATGTCCTTTTATAGAGTGAAGAAAGGTTAGGCGGGAAACTGGGTATGTGGAACCGAAGTTGTTTTTTATTGGAGGTTTTTGGTTGATTGCTGTTTGTGTCGGGTGGAGGCCTCTGGTTCCAGGAGCTGAGGCAAAGGTGGAATTCCCTCTGCCGTTTCAAGGCCCCTCCTTGTCCCCGCAGCCTGGGGCCCTCAGCAGGCCTCCTGCACTGACCTTACACATACAAGATTTGGGGTGTAAGCCAGAGGTGTGGGGGTGAGAGGATTCACCAAAGACAGAGTGGGAAGCAGAACAGGCAGATATACTGAAATATACTGCTGAGGGGAGCAGCAGGCGAGACAGGGGATGTCTGCTGCTGTATCATGTGGGTAGCTCCCTGGCCAGTTAGGGATCGAGCTGGTGCTGCAGTGGCTGGTGATAGCTTGATAGCTATGTCTTTAACCCCTGTGCCACCAGGGAGGCCCTCTTCTTTTTTCTCGTTTAGAAATTGAATTGATTCTAGAGCTTTTGCTTTTAGAGGAAAGAATGTGTGTGTGTACATGCTTTTAAACCATGGAAATTGCCAAATTGGGGTTCTCTGAATAGGAAAATTTGTCCTTTCAGTTGACTTGGTGCCTTGCTAGCCATATTCTATTCGATTTGTCCTGAGGTTCTGTTTTAAGACTATTGAACCATGAAACTTTGTCCCAATCTAGAACTACCAATTCTGGTATAACTCTTCTGGTATAACTTTGCCAGTTTAAAGTTTAACTTCAGGTATAACTATACCAGTTCTTCTGGTATAACTTTACCAGTTTCCTTCTAATGTTGTATACTATGGTGATTTATTTATTTTTTTACTGTGATAAAATATACAAGGCATAAAATATACCACTTTTAAGAATATAATTGGCTTTTTAGTTTCTGGAATTTTTATTCACTCTCTTATTTATTCATATCTGTTCTAATCAGTAGATATTTAATGGAGATAAGCTGTGTGTTTTGTGCTTAGGTTGGTAAATCATTGGCAAATTATGAAAAAAGTATAAATATAGTGCTACTTCTCAAGATTGTCTAGTGAAACAAGATATATGTACACCAGTTGAATATTCAAAGAAAGCTTGTTGTGAAAGCAAAACTCGGTCCTATTTTTTTTTTAAAGCATTTTAAAAGGACAGGTTTATTAAGAACAGGAAAATAGTCACAGGCTACCAGGAGAGCCGCTCACAACTTGGTCCTTAATCAGGGGTAGGATCTGTCTTAGAGAAGGGGAAAGTAAGGAACTAAAATAAAATATTATACTAGTTATTTCAGTGTTAAGTTCACTGTTCTTCAGAGAGTCTTGCTTTTCTAGCTTTGAAACTCTCACTGTTTTGTTTTTAAAATAAACTGAATGTCCACTGTTTAGGTTTTATTTATTTATTTTTAAAAAAGATTTTATTTATTTATTTATTTATACAAGAACCAGGGTACAGGCCAGATACATGGGAGGGTGAGAGGATTCACCAGAGACAGAGTGGGGAACAGAACAGGCAGACTGACGAAATACACTGCTGAGTGGAGCAGCGGGCGTGACAGGAGAGGTCTGTCACGCCATGTGGGACCCTCGCCGGCCAGCCGGGATCAAACCGGCGCTGCAGAGGCTGTGGACAGCTTCACAGCGCTGCTTTCAACTGCCTGCGCCACCAGGGGAGGCCCCTCACTGTTTTGTTTTTAGAATAAGCTGAATATTCCAGTGAGGAACACATTAGCACATAATTAATTTTTTTTTTAATCAAGAAATCAAACTTACATATCTCTTGATATAGACAGTATAAAAAATCTAGATTTATAGTGATAGAAATGTTAAGCTTCCTGTTAAAATTCTATGCAAATATCTGTGTTCATACAGCATTAAACTTTTCAATATATTACCACTTGGGAGTAGGTATTTCATTAGTGAGTGTAGAACAATTGCAGCTTTAGTTTTTTTTTTTTTTTAAAGATTTATTTATTTATACAAGAGCTGGGGTACAGGCCAGAGGGTGAGAGGATTCACCAGAGACAGAGTGGGGAGCAGAACAGGCAGAAGGACCGAAAGCATTGCTGAGGGGAGCAGTGGCCGTGACAGTCTGCCTCGCCATGTGGGTATCTCGCTGGCAGGCCAGGGATCAAATCCATGCTGCAGAGGCTGCGGACAGCTTCACAGTGCTGTGCTCAACCCACTGTGCCACCGGGGAGGCCCGCAGCTATAGTTTTTATAAAAAAATAATTGTACAGGGCCTCCCTGGTAGCACAAGGGGTTAAGCACCGCACTGTGAAGCAATCTGCAGCCTCTGCAGCACGAGTTCGATCCCTGGCCGGCCAGGGAGCATCCCACATGGTGCAGCAGACCTCTCCTGACTTGCCCGCTGCTCCCCTTAGCAGTGTACTTTGGTCAATCTGCCTGTTCTGTTCCCCACTCTGTCTGTGGTGAATCCTCTCACCCCCCGCATCTCTGGCCTGTACCCCAGCTCTTGTATGCATAAATAAATAAATCTTTAAAAAATATATAGTTTAAAAAAATAATTGTGCAAAACTCAGGTTGTATTGAAACATATATTTCTTGAAATTAATTTTGAATGTCTGCTACTCTGAAATCAGGTAAAAAGTTTAGAATGGGGTAGATACTTATGTGTGTAGAGAATGAGTTATGATTAATTCTGAATAATCTTACATTGACACTTGATGCAAAGGATGGTGCTCGTTTTGTTATTGTATGTCTTTAATGGGTCAAGGATTTCATCTGGGCTAAACATATTGTCTCATATCATAACAAAGTTAAAACAATATTTTTTCTTTCACATATTTGCAGACAGACTAACATACACTTGGCACCCCCATGTTCACGTGACATCAAGAGGAAACGGAAACCTGTGGCCACAGCGTCTCTGTCTAGCCCAAATGCAGGTAACTCTATATAGTTATCACTTATTAAGCACCTCCTGTGCCAGGCACCAAGTTATTTGTTTTATATTCTTTTACATCTAACCTTTATGATAAGGTAGGTTATTTTCTTCCTTGTTTACATGCTAAAACTGAGAATGTGAGAAGTAATTTGCCCAATGTCACACATAATTTAAAAATTCTAACCTAGTTTTCTCTGACCCTGAAGCCTAATCTTTTTCACTGTGTCACACAATTTTCTTGAGTTTGAATCCCTTGTATTCCACTGTCAACAATCTTCAGTTACCTGAGCTTTGTTCTAGACAGACAGAAAATTAGGTGAATGAAAATCAACTTAGGGTCACAGTTTAAATGGTAGCCAAGAAACCACATGAGTTTATTTACTTTCTTAGTTGGTGGACAGAGAGGACGTTCTCACTTTTTATGTATATGAGAGTGCTAACATTTTACCAGTCATGAAATTTCTAATTAAAAATAATTTTTCAATTGAAAATAATCTTTCAATTTTCTGGGTAAAGCTAGTTGGTAGAAATGAAATAGTGGCTGTCTTTGGGTGGGGGTTGGTGAGCTGGAGAGGACTTAAAGAAGTCTCTGGGGTGCTGGAAAGGCTCTATATCCTGAACTCAATGGGGATTGCAAGGGTCTGTACACATGTGAAGATTCATTAGGTTGCACGTTGATAATTTATGCCCTTTTTATGTATGTCATTCTTAAATGAATAAAGAAGGTGGAGTTCCATTCATATGCTTTTTTTGGAGTTAAGAAAAGTTAGTTAAGCATAATTAGTGAAGTCCTTCATGTTGTTTCAATATATTTAGGGTGAATTACTCTGGATAAAAAGATTAGTTGTAGAATGTATCAGAAATACCTATAGTTATTTTTTGATGATGGTAATTCACTCTAAGGAAACTGAGTATATCAAGGAGCTCTTCTTTTTTTTCTTCAGAAAAGACTTTATTATATAGATCAGAGCCGTTGAAAGCAAGTGGGGAACTCTTTTGCCCTGCCCTTACTTAAGTATTAGTATACTCTGAAATTGACCTATATGAGCTGCTTTTTTAGGTCCTCTGCTTAATAATGGTTCACACTGGATAATCTTGATGATTAGAGTAAATAAATGAACACTGCATGCTTTATTTCACTTAATCTTTGCAACAACTTTGTGAGGCAGATACTATTTTTATTCCCAGTTTTCATATGGGAATATTGAGGTTTAGACAGGTTAACTCATTTCTGCAGGTCAACTCATTTCTACATGGATAAATTGCAGAGCCAGAATCAGACCTATTTCTCTAAGAGTGTAGGCAGTCCTCTTAAACACTGCAGGTGTCCTGTTTTTATTGTATTAGATCCAAACTATGACTCCACATAAAACCCAGACCCTCATCCAGTCAGTGGTATTGGAAGCATTAAAACTCAGTCTCCCCTCATTTATTGTTTTGTGTTGTTATTCCCTCCTTAATGTCTTAATGTCTAGCTTCTACTTTTAGCTTTTAATTCTTTAAGAGAAGAACTGTTGAGTATAAGTCCTTATTCCATATTCAAATCGGGAAATGTACTGGGAGGTATTAACAAGACTTAAGCATTAAACATCTCCCCTACTGAGCACAGATCCTCCCCTCACTTGTTGACTAAGGTCTGCTTCACTGAACATTTCCCTTTTTTCTATCCACAACCTGAGTGCCCCATGGAGGTGAAGGACATAGCTGGAGCCGGAGCCATCAGTCAGTAGAACAAATGGGCTTGCTCTCCCTAACATCGGGCCATCTCGGATTCCACCTCTTTTATAGAAATGAGTGATGAAGAGAGGTGCGTTCCGCTTTGCCGCTGTATTAATACACATCAGGGGCCAGCTCCTGGCACTAAATCACGCTACTGCATACATCTGTTATCGGACTCTTCACCACTGTGATGAACAAGACTGCAGATAGAGGCTTCCTTGTGTCATTCTTTATAGGATTTTCCTAAAAGAATAAATAGCTCAGATCTCTGCCTACACTCTCCCCTGTCACTGTGATGAATTCAGCTTCTTTCTTAAACATGCAGCCACAGATCTTTTTCTTTTCCCCTCCCCCACTGGGGTAAAGTTTTGAGTTGAAATTGACTGGATTTAAAGATATTACGAAGACTAGAGTGTTGAAGAATAGGAAAGAATAACATGTCTTCCTTGCTAACAAAGGGCCAAGGAAAAGTCCTTCTCATAGGGTCCTTAAGTAGATACTTTCTGAAAGTATAGCACCTTTATATTCTTTTTATCTCCACCTCCTTTCCCTTTATGGCTATCTGCAGGTAGATGCAGCACAGAGCCACCCCTAAATCTTATTGAATAACTGTAAACCTGCTTATAAGTCCCATACACCAGAACAGGGAATGCTCGGCAAGTCTCTACCTCACGCAAAAGTGAACTGGCTGTATGTACTCTTCAAGAATGTAAATGGAAAAAGAAAAAAAAAAATTTTCCCCTCCAAATTTTAAGACTAAGTTGCTATAGGAAACATAAGGAACTCAGGTGAAACTCATTTCTTTACCATGATTTTCTTCATTAGCATGGAAGATCAGAGCCTTGGGATACAAATCCCAGTTCTTCAAAAAAGTAAAAACATAGCTTTATGTCAAGGAGAACTGGACTGATAGGATGTATTGAGAGCCCTATTTTAGCCATTCCAAAAGCCTTTTCTGACCTTGCTCTTTCTGGGGTAGGGTTATGTGTTTTTAGAGCATCAATGGGAAAGGTACCCAACATGTAACCTGTTAATCAGTTACATCAGATTCCAAATGCCAGGCCAGTGATGCTAGACATGTGTTTGCAAGGGTGGGAATTTTTATCTGTTTTGCCACTGCAGTGCCCCCAGCATCTAAAATAATACTCAGCACATGGAACAAACTCAGTTGATGTTTGTGTGTGAATAAGTGAATAGAATCCTAAAACTGAAATGTTATTCTTACCCTGTGATTCAAATCCTATGATAGAAACTTGGTTCTATTTGAGTTTGGCCCTTGTCATGGGAGTCATAGGGCAGATTCTTATTGCCCACTATGTCTTTGTAAAGCAAAAAATTTTTTTTCAGTAAATATTGAGTGACTGTAAAAGAACATTTAAAGAAGATTTATAAGGTCTAGAGGAAAAAATACAGCAAATATCCATGTATACCCAATATCTACTTTAAGAAAAAAAAAATACTTTAAAATCTTCCCACTCTTCTCAGAGGTTACCATTATCCTGATACTTTTTTTTTTGTTAATCATTTATCAGTTTTGCTTTTTTTTTTTTTTTAAGATTTATTTATTTATACAAGGTGCAGGCCAGATGTGCAGGAGGGTGAGAAGATTCACCAGAGACAGAGAGTGGAACAGAACAGGCAGACTGATGAAATACACTGCTGAGGGGAGCAGGCGAGACAGGAGAGGTCTGCTGCACCATGTTTCTTCCTGGCTGGCCGGGTTTCTTCCTGGCTGGCCGGGATCGAACCCGTGCTGCAGAGACTGCGGACAGCTTCACCGCCTGTGCCACCAGGGAGTCCCTTTTCAGATAGTTTTAACAAACATATATATTGCTAAGCAATATGTTGTCTAGATTTGCATGTTTTTGAACCTTGTGTAAGTGGAATGTCATTTTGTAAGTTACAAGTTTTATCCAGCTCTGTTTTTGAGATTCATCATGTTTTGTCCTGCCAAAATCCATGTATTTTTTTCTGCCATACATATATTATTCCATTATGTGACTGTGATAAATATACTATAATTAAACATTCTTGATAGACATTTACATGGTATCCCATCTTGTACTGTTGTGAAAAGTATTGTATCATTCTATGGGAGAACATGTGCAGAAGTTTTGTAGGTCTACTTCATACTGGTAGGATGATCATAGCAAAAAAAATAAGAAAGTATTGGGAAGGATGTGGTGAAGTTGGAACCCTTGTGCACTAGTGGGAGTGTAAAATACAGCAGCTGCCGTGGAAAACAGTATGGCGGTTCCTCAAAAAATTAAATGTAAAACTTTCATATGGTCCAGCCAGAATTGAAAGCAGGGATTAGAACAGATATTTGTGCTGCTGTTCACAGCAGCATCATTCACAAGATAGGGATTATTTTAGATGCTGGGGGTACAGCAGTGGCAAAACAGATAAAAATTCCCACTCTTTTGAGCAGCATTACTCATACGAACCAAAAAGTAGAAACAACCTAAATGTCCATCTCTGGATGAAAGGATGAGCAAAATGTGGTATATACATGCAAGAGTATGTTCAGAATGAAATTCTCACACATGCTACAAATGAAGACATTATGCTCATTGAAGTAAGTCAAACACAAACGGACAAATATTGTAGATTCACCTAGTGTGAGGATCCTAGAATAGTCAAATGTGTGAAAATGGTAAGTAGAATGGTAGCTGCCAGGGGTTGAGGGAGGAAAAGAATAGGGAGTTCATGGATGCAGAGTTTCCATTTAGGATGATGAAGTGCTGGAAACGGATGGTGGTAATGTTTGGGCAGTAGTGTCAAAGTGCTTCGTGTCTTTGAAAAATAACCTTTAATAATATAAGACATTAAATGCTATGTTATGTATACTTTATCATAATAAAAATATATATAGCAAAAGAGAAAATCTTTTTCAATTAAATATGAATTGTGTGCGTATGAGAGAGAGAGATGTTTGCATTGTGATGTCAAACATACTTTTAGCTGTTGTGGTTGAGGTTCTTAAACATTTAAGAAAGTTGTTGCAGAATAGTAATTCAAGATTTTTTCCCCAATAACTTGTAGTAAGAAATTAGTGTTTGAGTATGTATGGGGCGTACATGTAAATATGAAATAAACCCTTGGGTGCACTCTGACACTTCCTGTTGTTTTTCGGTCACAACCACTAAATTAAAAAAATATTTTTGTGACCCACACTTTGTAAATTTTTAGTCTAGGCTCGTTCCTGGGAGTGAAATTATTGAGTGACAGGGTAAAAATGTAACTTTTCAAGATTTTGCTATATTTCAGTATATGTTCATTCTCAATAGAATGGGTATGATGGTGGTTTGTACCTCTTTGCTCAGAGGGCATTTGGAAATATGAGCGCAGTGATAGGTCACAATAACTGGGGAGTGCTTTTGGCAGTCACTGGGTGGGGTCCAGTATGATGAGTATCATAAAATATATAGGGCTGTTGTGTACAAGTAGTGATTATCCTGTCCAGAATGTCTTTAGTGTCCTTGTTGAAAAACATTGGGCCTGATTGTGATTTTTCCATCATTTTCCTTTTTGTGCAGTATGTATTGATGACACTATTACATGGCAGACTTGGGGTGTGGTAGAAAGAGGGATAGGGCTTTGAGTCTAGTATTTGAGTTTGCATCTTGCTACTTAACCAAATCTATTATGTCCCTGAACAATTTATCTGCTCTCTCTATGCTTCAGTTTTTTGATCTGGAAAATAGAGATGATAATGCCTACTCTTATGGTTTTGCATTAAGAAATAAGATCATGATTATTACTACATTTTGTATTTGTACTCCCAGTATTATTTGTTCGGTCAAACCCATTTCTTAGGTAGAGAAGTATTTATTTTACTAAAACTTGGCCTGTATTTTTTGTAAAGTAAAAGGAGAAATCTTATATGATTATTTGGGTTAATAAGGCATAAAATATAAGGATTATGAAAATTTTGCATGAAAGTGTCTCATTCTAATTTGTCTTGTTCATTTTTTCCCCCTCCTACTGTTAATGTAACAGTTCATTCAGATGCAGTGGAGCCTATGACACCAGCATCACAGACCCAGAAATCTCCAAACTCTGAGTGGTTGGTCAGGACCTGTGCCACAGAGAAAGCCACGGACCAGGCTGCAACTACATTTTTTAAAATGCCACAAGAAAAGAGCCCTGGATGCAGCTAAAGAGCAGTATTTTACTCAGGAGCTGTCTGGTTTTTGTGCAAATGTTAGACTTTGTATTATAGAGCCTTGCATATCTTTGACATTCCCAGTCCTTTCACCACCAGGGCTGACTCTTCTTCAGACAAAGGAGTAGAAAAATCGTATTGTGGAAATTCATAAAAAAAATAATCATTAAAAAAATTAGTAAAGTATTGGGGCAGCAATTAAAAACAAAGTCATCCTGTGCTATATTTGTTACATTACTATTGCTGTCTCAGTAGTTACATAGAGCTCCATTTATAGAGCTTTTGCTTTTTTGCAGGTGTGTCTGTTCTTAAAAAACTAGTAGTTGCTTTTGCATACCTTTTGTGTAGAGCTTTTAATCACTTGAGGACGTTCCAAATTTGCAGACAATTCCAGACAAATTTAAACTTCGAGTTAAGAACAGCATGAAATTGTGTTCTGTAGGAGGTAAGACTTGCCTTTGAGCCTGGTCTTAATTCACTGAGTGGCGTGCCAATAAGACAAGTCCACCAAGTTCTCAATCTGGAGCTTCAGAAGAGACACCAGCAGCACAGGCCTTAGGAATATCTTTCCTTTTTCTAGAAGGCCTAATGGGATCGCCAGCATCTACATTGTATTTTGCCTCATCTCCAAAGTTCATGTTCTACCAAAAGACAATATATAGACACACAAAATCGTGTAATGAAAAGATGGTTTTAAGTGTACAGCAAACTTCAAGTAGTCAGTGAATTGTTTCTTAATACTTCATGTTGCATTTAACCTCTATGTAATAAACGGGATTTTATTGTTAGTATTATAGGTCAGTAACCTGTAACAGACTTTCATACTCTATTATTGTAATGGCTTAGAGCTATCCCTTGAGGAAAAATGTCTTTTTGACATGCCATTATACTTGGCGTGTTTATGATGGCTTAGCTGCATGGAGAGTTAATATATACAGCCATGCCTGAAGTTAGATGCTACTTTGTCAAAATGAGGAATAAGTCACTGCCTAGAGCTGCTGGAGAGAAGCCACCCTTTCTAAAAAAGTATTATCAAGACTGTCTGTCATTCAGAGGCCTGATTGACAGAAGGACTCTTTTTTGGTACTGTTGAGTGTTTTTTTCCTCTAAAATACACTGAAGTTTTTTCTTTAAGTGCCCACTGCTCTAGTAATGTTCTCAAGGAACACCTACTCCTGCACCTGGATATTTTCTGTGCTTAAATAGATGCTGAGTGGGATAGACCCTTCCCCTGCAGCACAGTTACTTACCCCTTTTTCTCACACAAAATGTCATGATGGGCTGCTCTATCATTGTGTCCCCTTTGAAAATTAGAGTCCATAACTGTGATCGCTCCAGAATTTCCTTATCAGCAGGATGGGTGTGAATCTGGTTAGAAAGCAGGACTTGCAGCTCAGTTTACATAGCACTTTATGGAAGACTGTAAATTGTCAATTATTCTTAACAGAGAATGTGGTAGAGGGAGGAACAGGTAGAGATGTCAGGGGAGAAATGGGGCTGAAGCCAACCCAGCACCTCCAGGGACCATCCCTGCCTCTCATGAAGTAGTGAGTCTGCCTGCTCTGGGCTGCACCCATAGTAGAATAGAAACTGTAGTGTCTTAAATATAAAATGGTACCATTAAGTTTTAGTGATGAAGGTAGGTTTTGTTGTCACATGTCCTTTCTTGCCTTAGTTCCATAGTGCCCTGAGGCACACATTTCTAACATAATTTGTTGGATTTAAGGGGAAAATTTTCACACTAAGCTCTGTGGCTCCCCAGTTGGTCCTGTGGTAGTGGCTTATTTGAAGACTTCTGCAGTTCAGGTAGCATCTTCTGACAAACTGCCTAGTAGTTTTCCTAGTAGTTACCTGTGATTAAAAATAATTTATAGCTATAATTTTATTTGGATTTTAAGCATCTCTGATGTAAAGGTAGGTGACTACTCCTAAGAACAGTCATGAAGCTTAGTGACTTGCCCAGAATCACATAATCAGTACTATAATCCCAGATTTTCAGACTTTCTCTGCCCACATTTATAATCTGGTGTCTCCTGCTCCATGAGTCACTCTGAGACCCATCTAGTGAGCTGGGAATGTCAGTCATCTCTTGGGTGTGCTTTTCTACATATTTTGAATACTTTCAATAAGGATCACCCAAAAATGCCATTTCTTACTGTTACTAAGTGGGGAAGAAAATTAATTGCCTAAGAGTCATTAATCACATAATATATTTTCCAACACAGAGTTGTAAATTGTGCTCCTCATTTTAAGCCAGTTTGAGCTTGTATACAGAATTATTAACTGGCTTGTTTTGCTTGTTTTCTGTAGGACTCAATTCCAGAGAAATAACCTGAGAATTGAGTGTATTTTGAATCTTAGAATTTAAATTTCCTTTTTTATGGCACTGTATAATGTCATAAATTTAAAGACAATTACATTAGATTAAACAAAAGATATTTCAAAATCATGACTTTCTAATTTGTTGAAAAAACTCTGGTAACATATCTTCCTTTGAGGATGCTTGAGTTCATGTGTATTTGATTTGCTCAAAAATAATAACTGAAGCTGGATTCTTATTTCAGGGATCTGATTTATCCCAGTGGGCTGCACTATCAGCCTGTCTGTATCCTAATCTTTTGTATTTTCCACAGTGGGCAGAAGTCAAGACATCTAGTTGCATGAACTTCATTTATAAAAATTTAGTTTTGTTTATGGGTTTAAGGGAATTTGGGATTATTTTGCAGATGCACTATTTTAAAGGAAACAAAATCATTTGCATCCATTGCTTTTGAGTGGAACTTTTCCAAAGAGGAAATTAGTAGGTGTTTACATGGTGCCAAGTTTGGGGCAGGCAGGGTATGATCTTTGAATGGTCTGTGCTTGTTAAACAAGCAACCTTTACCTTGACTTCTTTAGAAATTTAATTCTGTTGAAAATTTCAGATTACATTGTTTTCCTAGGCTATGAAACAGGCTGTAAACAAGGTCACCTTGGCAACAGAACAACCAAAAACTGAACTACAGATTTTTAATGCTTATGGCATCCTTTGCTAAGTAAAACTTAAGACTTAGGGACAGGTCACTAAACTGTTAGTGAAAGTCAGGATTAATCTGACACATTTGCATTTTGGAATAGAACACAAGAGACACAGAATGGGAAGTTCTGATGCTGCAAAGTAAAGGGGCAGTTATCGCAGAAGTCACTTGAACAAGTTTCCAAGCCATGTGTGTAAGGAGCGGGCATTGTCATTGCTAAGGTTATGGGTTCTCCACTTTGGCTCCAGGTGATGCATGATTCACTTCAGGGCTGTTTTATTTTGGCTTCATTACTGAGGTTCTGAATCAGAACCTTGGGGAGAGGGCTGTTATGAATGTCCTAGATTAGAAGCTGGAAATCAGTTTACTCTGTGTCTGCTGAACCTTACCTGAGCTGGGATCAGAACAGAGTGACTTATTCTAACAGTTGTGAGTTCAGTTCAGTTGAGACATAGCTTTCAAGACACCTGTGGTTCCTGGGATGGTGGGAGGGGTAGTGGAAGCAGTTTGGTCTTGCTGTCAGCTGCTTCCTTTGTTAATACTTGAACTGCTGGTTTTGCTTGTCAGTATTTCTTTATCTTCCACACCATTCTGGATAGTTAGTAGATACTGGTGATGGCAGCAGTCAGATGGGTTCCCACCCCATTAGAAAACTGGTACGTAGTATAAAATGTTGAAATTGGTGAGTTCCGCTATTAGCACTAAATGCAAATGGCCGAGATGCTTTCACCTATATTAAGGTCCGAAAACAGATAGGTGTTAGATGCCTAGAAACAGTACCATTTTCAAAGAAGCAAGGAAAATGAGTGGATGGTAAGGTTTTTTAACAAACCCAGGACAACAAAACTATGGCCACGTGAAATTTTCCTGCCATTGCCAATAGACACGATAACTACTTGATAAAATTGCCAGGTTTAGGGATAAAAAATTTTCAAATAGTATTGAAGAATGAGGCAGATCTTAAAAATGTTCACCAAGGAAAGCAATGTTGGCAAGGTCCCGAAGTGAGAAGTCAAGGGTAAGAGAAGGGGAGATGGTCAGAGCAGGGGTGCTTGGGTCCCTGGGCCAACAGCCTCAGCACATTCTCGCTCCCACCAGACCTACTGAATCAGCATCTGAGGCTGAAGCCTGGCAGTGTTGTACTAGCCCTTTGGGGAACTCCGGTGCATGCTAATTATTAGAACCACTAGCTTTGACACAGTTAAAAAGAAATGTTTTAATATACTGGTTCCCCCTAAGCTCTGAGGTGCCCTTTATTTCCCTCCATAAGTATAGAGATGGCTTTGTGTATGGTTCTTTGTAGAAATTGTCAATGTCTTTATTTCCCACACTTTACCCCTCAAGTTCCTGAAAAGATCCCCCTGGAAATATTGAGAAAGGTTGATGTGGAGAAAAACACCATCAAGGCCATGTTTATTTAGATGGATGCAAATAACCTTTTAAAAGTGAATTAAAATATAACAGTGAATTTTCAGCCTGTAAGTGATAGTCATTTTTCACAATTGCCAGTAAAAACATTTGTGTAAGATAACCGGCATTAAAATGTAACGTGTTTGTTCGTTACATCTTTGTTTCATGGGAGGAAATTATCATGTATATTTTAGCAGCATCATGATGAAGGCTTTAAGGTGTGGCTCACAAAAATGGAAAGAAATTTAAAGGAAAAAAACCATTCAGATACCTATCAATTGTGTAATAAATACCTGTCAAGTTACTGGTAATCTCTTGCTAGGACTCAGTCTCAATACTTCAGAGCATATAAAAACCAATTTTCAGTGATCCCCCTTAGTCATGCCTTACTTACTGTCTTTGTTTTGCATTTCAGCTAGTGATTCTGCAAGAGTTGGGGACTAATAGCAACAGCATGTTTTTTTGTTGTTGTCTGACTCATGAATTCAGCATTCAGAATGTGGTACTATGCTCTTAATGCTTTGAAGTAATCATCACAATTTTTTCTTTAAATTTTATTTGTATGCATTGAACTGGGCCCTAGCTTATTACTAAAGCCTACAAACCCAGATTCTCTCCACAGATGAGAGCCCCCTCACATATCCTCACACTTTCCTCACCTCTTTCTGGCAAGTACCTATCCTGCCCAGGACAAATCCCTTCCTGTGTGTCCCAGACCCTCTCCTTTGTTCACAGATGCCTTGCTCAGTGTAGCTATCGCTGCTCCTGGCATGCACAGCTTTGCCTTTAAACATGTCCCAAGACTCCCTCTTCAAACAAAAATACCTTTCCTCAGCCCTTTGAACCCCTTGGCTACCACCAAAGTACTGCCTTCACCTGCACGTTCTGTTGTCAGTCCCCTGAAGCAGTGGTTTTTAACCCTGGCTACACATTAGAATCACCTGGGGAGCATATTTTTTAAAGTCCTGATTGTCTAGATGGGCCCACATGGACCACTTCCATCAGATGGCAAGGCGGGACAGGCTTCAGTCTGTTTCATGCCGTGTACAGCCAGGGCTGAGGACCAACCACCACTTCAAAGTGGCCACCTCTTATGCCACCATTAAAATAGTTTTGGGGAGCGTCACTGGTGTCTGCTGGTGGTCAAAGCTTAGTCCATAAGTTGATCTTTATGATTCAGTGCTCTGTAACCACTTCCTTGTTGGAATTCTACCTTTTCTAATCTTGCTCTTACACAATGGGTGCATTGGTTAGTAGGTCAGATCTCCTTTCCCTCCATTCCTTCAAAAACACACATCCTGGGCCTCCCTGGTGGCGCGAGGGGGTTAAGACACAACCTATGAAGCTATCTGCAGCCTCTGCAGCACGAGTTCGATCCCCGACCAACCAGGGAGCTACTGAAATGGCACAGCAGACCTCTCCTGTCTCACACACTTCTCCCCTCAGCAGTGTATTTCAGTCAATCTGCCTGTTCTGTTCCCTACTCTGTCTCTGGTGAATCCTCTCACAACCCCCCCCATGCCTCTGGCCTGTACCCCAGTTCTTGTATGCATAAATAAATAAATCTTAAAAAAAAAAATCCTATGAGTTCCATTGCCAGACCACTTCAGGGACAGCACTTTTTATAGCACAGACTTGGGTAAAGCCTTTACATTTATCAATGATTTTCGTATACTTCTACGAAAGCATCCTTGAGAATTATGTTAGTCCCATCCTCAAATGGATCTCCCACATTTACTAGTGGGGGCTTGAACTGTGGTGCCTCTTCTGCTTTCTCCTTTCCTAGGTCTTGGACTGGTTGGAGAGCTGGGGCCTCTTCTCCATATAAAGAGCCTACCCTATCTAGTGTGAAATTCAGCTTTTTACTTCTGCTGCTGGTAAGACTTTAGTTTGGGGTTAGGGGATGAGACTTCCTTACCACTTTCTGGCCTTAGGCACCATGTTGGATCTTTATCAGACGAATTTTTTTTTTTAAATGACAAACACTATATATTTTTTAAGATTTATTTGTTTATACAAGCACTGGGTACAGTCAGAAGCGTGGGAGAGGGTGAGAGAATTCACCCGAGCCAGGGTGGGGAGCAGAACAGGCAGACAGATGGAGGACACTGCTACACTGCTGAGGGGAGCAGTGGGCGCAGCAGGAGAGGTCTGCGCGCCATGTAGGACCCTTGCCGGCAGCCAAGGGATCGAACTGGTGCTGCAAAGACTGCGGGCAGCTTTGCAGCCCAGCGCTCAGCCGCTGCACCACTGGGGAGGCCCTATCAGATGAATTTTTGTTGGGATTTCAGGCACTAGACCTACTACCAATAAAGTGGAATTTCCCACTTGCCTACCCTCACTGCTTTTAAACTGGATGATGCAGGGGTTCCGCCATCACCAGAAGACCCCTTGTGTTCCTGGCTTCTTTAGAAAACTAGGATCTGAGTAATAGTCTTGTGTGTGTCTTAGCTGCGGGAAGCAAGAATGAGGTTATCTGGAATGTTTAGCTTCTGTTGGAGGATGGAGGAATACCTCAAAATAGGAAAGTAGTTCAGGTGCTGGTCAATAAGAACAAAGATCCACTAGAGCCATATCCCTAGTGACTAACTCAACAACATTTACTGAACACTCACTAAGCTGGTCTTCCTTAGGGACCTCTTAGGGAAGAAGGAAGGAGGGTATCCCAAAGCAGGATATTCTGGGTTCCTTAGATATCCTCTGACTGAAACCAGTTGAATCCTGTCTAGAGCCTATGATGATGATGAAGAAAAAGAAGAATTACTGAGTTACTAATGTGTGCCATTTTTAAACCACATTTCCTGTACTTCTCCACAACTAAGGTAGGTAATTTGATGTCTGTTTTTAAAGCAATGCAATATATTAATAGTTACAGATTTACTTGCTCAAAGTCACATAGCTAATAAGTGTCAGCCAGGACTCAAACTCAAGTCTAGTTGATGCTAGAACTTTCATCCCCAACCAATACCCTATGCTGCCCCATTCATGATATGAACAAACTGTTGGTAGCCATGTATATTAAAAATAAACTGCCTGCCCCTGGGCCCAGGGCTGGCTATCTGGTGAAACGATTTCAATCCATTTACCTGTTGCTCCCGGTGGGCTATTTATCAAAGCAAGTGTGAATGGGCTCATCTCTCTATCCTATATCCCTGAAAGAAGACAGCCGTTCTGTGACATCCTTGTGTAATGATCTAGTGTTTTTGAAAGTGGCTGGAGTAAAAGTCAGTAAAATCCTGCAGACCTTCAGGAGTCAAAAGGTATCATCCTTTGCATACCAAAGCAAAACTGATCTCTAAATCTGGAGAATTTTTGATTTGTTAATGGTAATACGAACTGTTCTAAACATCTTGCTAAAGAACTGCTAGCAAAATAGCTGCCTTTACAGTCTCCCTTAGTAAATATTCCTTCATTGAGAAAATATGTAGAACACATTTTATGCTGAGTATTTTTGCTAGGAACTGAATATTCAGAATGGCAATTCCTGCTTTCATGAGGTTTGTGGTTTTCTAAAGAAAGCAAATATTACAGAGTAAGATGATAGATTGATTTTGAGATATGAATATCAGGATATTTGGGCAGCAAGGAGGAAGGCAGTAAACACTGAACCAAGTAATGTAGAATGAGTAAGAGTTACATGGAAGAAGAGGAGACCCTCTAAGAGCAAAGAACATGGTTTACTCAGGGCACTGCAAGGCTCTGCAAGTATTTGGGTACGGCTGACACAAAGCAGGGGAAGTGGACAGTATGTGCACACCGGTTTGTTAATTTGGAGAACTGGTAATTTCTCTGCTGTACAGCTAGAGAAACCACGGCACCGGCCTGTTGTGTGAGCAAGGCTGGAACTGAAACAGGTTTTTATCTCCTCAATCACCTTCTCATAATTTTTCATTAAACATCTTCTTTTTTGTGTGTGTGTAGAAGAACTGGGGTATAGGCCAGAGTTGCAGATTGGGAAAGGAGTGAGTGAGAGGATTCACCAGAGACAGAGTGGGGAACAGAACAGGCGGATTGACTGAAATACACTGCTAAGGGGAGCAGCGGGCGAGTCAGGAGAGAGCTGCTGTGCCATGTGGGTTAGCTCCCTGGCTGGGGATGAACTCAGGCTGTAGTGGTGATGGCACTGAGACTTAACCCCTAAGCCCCCAAAAGGAGGCCCCTGAAAATATCTTTCTAAATGAAACAAACAGAAGAACCTAGAAGTTTATTTTTTTTTTTATTTATTTTTTTTTTTATAGAGGCATGTTTTTTATTTATTTATTATATTTGTTTGTTTTGTTTATACAAGCACTGGGTACAGTCAGAAGCGTGGGAGGGTGAGAGAATTCACCAGAGCCAGAGCGGGGAGCAGAGCAGGCAGAAGGACTGAAGTACACTGCTGCTGAGGGGAGCAGCGGGCGGCAGGAGAGGTCTGCGCGCCATGTGGGACCCTCCTCCGGTGGCCGGGGAGCAGCCGGGGATCGAACCGGCGCCGCAGAGGCCACGGGCAGCTTCGCAACCCAGCGCTCAACCGCTGCGCCACCGGGGAGGCCCAGAACCTAGAAGTTTAAAGTGAAGTGAAGTTCATATTTTGGTAGGCCAGTGAGATGAAAGTCCATTTCACCCTGAAGTAATCTTCTGAGACTTGGTCCCCTTGTGCCTCTTTTGTGATGACCGTGAAGGTGCAGGGAGTAAAGCAGGACCTACTGGAGGAAAGGAATTCAGTCCGAGCTCTCCCACTAACGGGAGACCCTCCAAGCGCTGCACTCGCAGTGGAAGGTGAAGATGCAGTAAGCCCACCAAGCATGAGTAATGCAGGGAAGTGTGCCTTTCTGGACCTCCATCCTAAGTAGAGGAAAAGGTTTTTTTTTTTTAAATCTAAACATGTTTTATAGGTTGTCCCTTCTAGAAGTTTCTCACCCAAATTTATTCTTCTTTTATGCTCTAAAATACCACAAATAGGAATTTAATTTACACTGGGTCCTGGTGAGTAGTAACCCCAGATGGCCAGCAGAAGCAAGTACAAATTCCCTCTGGAGAAATGAAACTTCAATCTAAGTGTCAAAGAACTCCACAGGTAAGGATATGAAGAATACGGGTAATGCACAGTTAAAATTCCACAAGCCAAAGAGAGAAAGAAGAGGCCGTGTGTGAGTCATAAGCAGCAGCATAGAGACCAGGACTTCAGGTCACAGCTTACGGCAAGACTAGAAGCAAAGTGTTTTAAATATATTTCAAGAAATGAAAGCTTCAAAATGCCAGGCAACAAAAGCATATAATTTTGAAGTGCAGTGTTGAAAGTATACCACTCTAATTGTTCAAGAGGAGGGGAAGAATCTTATTAATTTGGGACTTTAGCTAGACATGTTAAAATAATTGTAATAACTGCTAAAAGAATAGAGGGAACATTGTGTTTAAACTAATATAAGGAAAAGGCAATGATTGAACAATAGACTAAAAAGGTGATAAGAACAAAAAGCATAAAATAAGATGGCAAAAGAATTCAAATAAATCAGTTGTGTCAGTGAACTAAACTTTTCAGTTGAATGTCCATAATCCTGCATTTTAAAAATCCAGCTATAACAGGTTACAACAGATTTGTGAACTCAGCCAAGCACAGTGGTGGCAGGGCCTAGCTGCTACAAAGAAGAAATGTTTTAGACAATACTCATGTGTATGGGCAAAAAATCTCGAGGACTGTATTTGTGACTAATTGTATAACAGGTTATTTTAGCTTCTGTTCTGTGGAAAGTGTAAAACATTCCAACAAAGGGTTTTAATGTAGATTTTTTTTTGCACCCATGCTGTTGATTGCTAAATGTAATAGTCTGATCATGATGCTGAATAAATGTGTCTTTTTAAAAAATAAATAAATAAAAATAAAAATCCAGCTATATGCTATGTATTAGAGACACATCTAAAACTTAAACTCACAGAAATATTGAAAGTAAAAGGATATATAAGGAGAAAAAAATACAAGGAACAAAGTAAGTTATGAAATAATAAATGTTGGCTCAATTACTAATGATTCAGTTTGCCAGGGAGATAAACTAATTCTCAGTGAAGCTTAATAATATTTCTTCAATATGCATAACCAAAAAGACAAAACTAAGTGTTACAATATCCTCTTTCATTAATTGATAAGACAAAAAGTGTAGTGAATATAGAACATTAAACAACACACTGAATAAGCTTGGTGTAATGGACATGAATAAAATAACTGCATCCGACAATTTGAAGAATGACACATTATTTTCAAGCACAGTTTGAACATTTACAGAATTGACTCTAGTTTATAAAGCAAACTGAAAAAAAAAATAAAGCAAACTGCAGTAAATTCCAAAGATTAGAGTCATATAGTCACAATGAAATTAATTTTAAAAGTCAATAACAAAATAATTCTCTAATGCATTAGGAAACTTAATAAGATATCTAAAGCAATGAATCAATGAAAAAAATCCTAATAGCTGTTAGAAAATACTTAGAACTGAATTATATCAGATTCTATACATTAACATTCTTGGGATGCAGCTAAAATGGTAGTTAGAGAAAAATTATGGTCTCAAATGTTTAAAGAAGAGAAGAAGAAAAGATGAAATTTATGAATTAGGCATTCTACTTATATACAGTTATTAAAAGAAGAACAAAATAAACTCAGATAAGACAAATGTAGTAATAGTGGTAAGATCAGAGTTTATTGAAATAGAAAATAAACAGATAATTGAGATCAACAAAGTCAAAAATTAAGACAAAAGCAACTAACATCATTAAGAAAAAAATAGAGAAGGCACAAATAAATAATATTAGGAACAAAAAGAGGTACATAGATATAGATATAGCAGAAATTTAGACATTAAGTAGGTACTAGTAAGAACAACTTTAGCCAATAAATTTGAAA